CTGGCGAAGTCACTATAAAAAAAACCAACGAACATGCTTCAAATGCTCAGTCACAGTTGCAACCACCATCTGAAACCCAAACGAGCCGTGTACACGGCATATCAATGGGTAGAAACTCAAGGCAGCATGCCAGCCGCCAATCTGGACGAGACTAAGTTCCCCAAGAACTCTTCAGAGCCAACGGATAGACATTCATTGAACGGAGCCGAAGGCGACCAAGGAAACGGAGTTAAGAGTATAGACAGCCCAAATCGAGGCGGAGCATTCCGTACATGGAAGGGGTCTCCGATGCCGTGGCTAGGTCCCTCGCGCCACTCGGAATAGGTATTGCCCACAAACTTGACTTACCAATCCACCGGCAAGTGATATGGCCAAAAGACCCAATCCCTAGGTAGGAGATGTCGGCTGTTGTCTGCCGACGCCAAAGCAGCTGCGGAAGTTGCAACTACGTTGGGGGACACTGGCGGACGGCTGCAAACGCGAATGCAAGAGCATAAGTTGGCCGTGCGAAGGTTGGACCCAAAGTCGGAGGTAGCAACCCATGCCACACAAATGGGACACATATTCAACTTTGAAGCCGTTGAGATTGTAGGCCGGGGCGATGATAATACATAAAGACAGTTGCAGGAAGCCTGGATGCCCATCGACTGCTCTGTCAACCACCACATCAATTATTCTCCCCCTAGCTGACTTTACGAACCTTCTTAACGGGGGACAGCCACGGCGTGGGACAATCGGGGCCGTCAGTCACCTCCGCGGCCGTCGGGGGCGATTTAAGTCACGGTGACATGCGGGTTGGATGCAGCCGCACAGGCGGCATTGGCGGTTCACGCATTGGACAAAGCGCGCCATATAAGGGGAGCCGTGCGCATGACTTCTCAGTCTCTGAAGATGGGTAGACGAACCAACTACTCCAAACTTCAGACCTATAATAAACCCCTCTTCTTTTTCTCGATATGCCATCTGTAAATCGCAATTTTCCTACTATTTATATTCAAAATCTGCAAAAATACCTATCAATTACGTGAGCCTGATAGTCATCTGGTGATTTCTGGGTGGATTACTTAGGAAATCCTGCTTGTGCAATCAACTTGCTGTATTAGATTCGATAGATTCCAGCCATTGCAGTAGGCTAAAGGACTAAGATCACACAAATTTGATTGAACTCACGTGTTTCGGTGGGGCGTCCTAGCTCCGGTGGCTATAGCGTTGGCTGTTCCAAACCTTCTTCTTGCTGTTATGGATTCGTGTCCTTTTGAGGTGCCGAGTTTCGCATAGTGGCGTAAAATGTAATTATTGAAAATCTATATGAATATTTTGTATGTTTTAAATAATTTTGGATCTTCCTGTTTAAAGAAGACGATTGTGACATCCTGTGCATTAAATTAGGCGGGTATTCACTTGTGGTTCAGTTGTTAAATATCTCAATTAGATAAGCCTGTTTTCTTTGACGTTCGCCCAGAATACTACTGTCTTTCGCCTCTTAGTGGAATTTGCGGAGTTTAAACATGGTATAAAGACGATCAGGTTGCCAATCAACAGGGTCATTCTAAAATTTACGTTTACTACCGCTGTTATATCGTGAAAACCCATGAATTGACTAAAATATTGTGCAAGAATTCTAGTAAACTGTGCTGAAATTACTTTGGTCATTTGTTTAATATATACAGTTTGGCGTGATGTCGTTCATTTACAATATCGGGGCTTTTTAATGAGGATAAAAATGGTTTGTGATTCATTTCGGACGGCACGATTACCAAAATTAATAAGGTCCTGATGACAAGCATTATGGCTGCGTGGTTTGAACGGTGCGGCAGACTTGTTACTTTTTAGGTGCATGCCTTCTCAAGCTTACAAAAAGGCAAAACAAGTGTTCTTTTACTATCGTTGTTCGCAATAACTAGTAGTGGACGGCATGTAAGCTCCTTTTGATTTTTGAAATCGATAACTATTAACTGTTAACTCAGGAGTCAATTGCGTCTCTTCTGCCTTGCAATTAACCCTTGCCTATCCTTTTATCTGTTCCTGTATTTACCTGATCAAACACAATTTTTTTGCGGTTATACATTTTCAAGTAGACTTTGGCCACTAAATATGCTAGCATATGAAAAAGGAAGAGATTCTTCGGAAAAAAATCGAGTTGTACTCGTGAATGTTCGAATTGGTGACACCAACCCGTCGTCAGACGAAATGAAGATAAAAGAGTGAGACAGTCACACTAGACTAGTAGATGCGACAGGACAAACATTGACGGGCGGACCATTAGCGTGTGAGGAGGGATGCGGGCAGGGAGTCATGCTGGGTTCTGAGCCGGGAGGGGAGGAAGGGGGGGGGAGAGAACAGTTACGGCTCCCCGTGTTGGAGGGGAGGGAGAATGGTAGGTTGGCAGAACTGCGGGCACCTGGATTAGCGGCCGCTGATGCGGCGTGGGGCTTGGCTGACGAAGGGTTGGTGTCACCAAGTCAAAAGTTCACGAGTACAACTCCATTTTTCCCGAAGAACCTCTTCCTTTTTCATTATATCGTCTCCGAATGCCTGCCACATCTACACTAGCGTATGTCTGAAACTTCTTTAAATTCATCATGAAGGCGTAATTCTAGAATGGCTGATCTTTGACCATTGTTGTCGGATGCAACGGTATGCTGGACGTGTCGCCGGAATAAATTAATGGACTTTATTTTTATAACAAGGTAATAAACCAAAAACGTTAATACAAAGACCGGATTTTATGGGCCTTTTTATCCAATATCACCTGTAATCTTTCGAAAATCAGAATAAGGGCGGATTTTGAATTTATCCCTAAATTTGGAATATGCTTAAGCTTTAGTAGTCCAAAAGACATATTTGGAGAGCAAGCACCCGTTACTAAATCGAATACTACCACATTCTGCACAAAGAGTAGAGAGATGGTGAATATTTTTGTAGATGGATGCAATTTTTTATTTTGCTGTTAATCGTTTCTAAGCAGCTGTGCTAATTTGGCGAATAATGGTAAGTTTTCGGCTGGATTGATAAGAAATCTTCATTTTTGTAACTCTGCAGATATGGAGCGGTTTTTGTCAATTTGAAACAATGTAAACGTCGACATTACTACCCAAAATATTGCGAATACATCAAATCAAAAAATAACAGCATGCACTAATATGCAGCAAAATGTATGTCTCCTCTTAGCCATTAGTTAGGTGGTCCCTGCTGAACATCTAGGGTGCTACGGGTAAGCAGTTTGCAACTATTCCAGCCTAAGACAGTAGTTTTTCGGGTACCGAATTTCGTCTTTATCGGAAAGTTCCATGAGGATAGCTGAACGCAAGACCGAATTATTAGTCGCACATTTATCTAGTTAGTCAGGCGTTAAATGAGGCATGTCTTTGTATACCGACATGCATGATAGCACATACACATCTGTAAGGAATTATCATTATTTGCAGCAAATATTTTGCAAATGCTTTCCGTCTGAAGATGTAGAATTGCCAGGAGGCAGACAGTTATAATATCCCTTGACTCTTGTCTCTATCGGTAATACCATTCTGCCTATATCATGCGCCGCTGTGCGGCTACTGGTTGGGTTCGGGAGGGAGCCTGTAAGGCACCACGGAACGAGTGATTTCCGTAAGAACGATCGGCGAGCACTTCCTACCAAAGTTATAATATCGTCAGTTGCTCGATGAAAGATGAAGTACAGCAAGTACAAGCAAGTTTTGGGGAGTAAACTGCTGAGAAAGATATTTCTTATTCTAAGCTAGTCATGCCGACGCCTGTTGAGGACCGTAACATTAATGCAACGATGGGTTGTCTCTTGGTAATTCCTGTCCGGGTGACAATACTAGTTCGTTAAACCGATACTATTCTAAGGCATGCGTGGTAGGCAAAACAAGCTATCTTTTATTTGTGTTAAAATATCAAAGGTAAAGTGGGAAAAGATCGGTGGTGGGTACAAACTGTTCACATGTTTAGGGTATGCTTACGCGGTCAGACATTTTTGTTCTGACCAAAAATCTGGTGATATGTCAATTTCCTCCCAGGTCGAGCGTTAGGTCAGCTTTCGTTCTCCGCGCTTAAAAGCTCGCCCGATGCGGTTGTTTGAATTCGTGCCAACGATGTTTGATTAACGAAGTTTAATCTTCAAAACCTATGGTACATGTGCGGCTGTCGTTTTGTGAGGAGGAGGAGGAGGAAAAACAACGGGAAAATAAACAAGAGAGATAGAAGAGGTTATTAAATTATTTTAACAAATGCCATGGTCACCGGTTGTGTTCCGGGTTTTATTTCCAGTGTCATTTCCTCCGACTAGAAAATGGAGAGGATGAGCGCAGTTGGGTTGACACATGTATATCTGTAGATTAGTGTTTCCTGTGAATAGCCCCTCTGTTAGGACGTGTTTGGAGACCAAGATAGGTCAGGGGCAGCTGCTAGAGGAAAGGAGTGGCAAGTACAAAAATGTGTATTCCTCCAGGGATTGTCCTGGGAGAAGGGCCAGCGGGAGCTGGCCATATTTTTGGGGAAATCTCATACTATACTGTCGTCGTTTCCGTTGCTCATAGCCAAAAGGATCTTCTCCCGCGGTGGCGCAGATATTACGCTGAACTCGTCCTGCGGCAGATTAGCTGGCCGTCCTAATGTGTGCTGACCAAGAAAATTGGGCAAATGTGGTGTAGGCTCAATGTATTTCAGTTCCTCAACGTTCTGCATTCGCTTATGTCGATATATATGCCAGAGTTCACACGCAAGGTCGCCAGCTATAATGTCGCCGACGTTCATGGAGATCAGACGGATAAGGAAGACACCGTCCGGACGAAGAAAGTTCTCAACAAATTTGTGTGAAGCATTTTTGTCGGTGTCCTTTAGTACTGCCATGATTTTGAGGAACCTTCGGATGAACTTAAGCCGATAGCGTGCAAACCCCATCCGCAAGAACCAGCTGGAGAAACTGAACAAGGTGATTATGCCAATTATACAGTGCCAAAACCAGAGGAAGACGAAAATCTTTTCGAGGAACATGTTCAGTGGCAGAACGCATTGGATTGTGTATCTACAATGGAAAGTTAAAAGAGTAAATCTTCATGCGTGTTTTTTAATACTAACAAGGGAAGAGCTGGGTGGATTCTACAATAAATCTAGCAGACAACAAGTGCTCTGAGCATGGAAAATGAAAACTAGACACACGACCAGTTGCTATTCTGAGACGATTTGAGTCGCAATGAATTAAACCAAAGAAGATTGATTTAAAAGCAACTGCACTTTCCGCCCAAAAAGGAGAGCGACATCCAAGGTTAAGGGCTTTCCTTTGTAATTACACATCAAGGCAATACAAACGTTGAGGTTAATACGTAGAAAACGGAATTGAAAATTCACGGCCGAGAAAAGTTCCGTAGAATCATTTAATCAAGAACTGTAATGCTCTTTGACAACGTGTCACAAAATGATTGACCCCATTTTTGAGGTCAGACGTTCAAAGCTTGTCCCTAGTAATTTGGATTGTATCATTAAAGGATAATGGGACGTCATTGAAAACAGTCTGCAAGCCACGCAACAAGGTAACTTACGCATGTGTAAAGCATGTATTTGTTTATAAAGTTTCGAGAAATTGTTGGAATTTAATGACGTTAGTAAGGTTTTAAGAGTCTTTTCAGTTTTTAATCAATGGAAACTATTATTTACTTTTGGCCCCACCGTTAAATGGGAACTCCAACTTGAAAATTTAAGAGACCTTATGTCAGATGGTTTTTGCACCATACCAATGCATTCTCAAGCCAGATATAAGTTCCTTTCAAGGGAATCTAAGATCAGATAAAGGCAAATACAGGGTTTGAAATACACTTCAGTAATTTCATAGTTTCACAAAAGACCTCTGCGTACCTAACCATGTGTGCATAGTGTCGTCGAGGTATGGACATGTCATTGTGCTTACCTGTGCACACAAGTAAGCAAACATCAGCTATCCAGAAGACCATTCTAATTCAAGTTGGCCCCCCTTTATCACTGGAACTTTAATATTCTGAAAACTTTTCAGAAAAAGTTCCTTTATTTTATTTATTTTATCTTCTCTCTATATCTACGCAGTCATGTGGCCATCGATATTACAACATCTATCTATTTATCGTTCGTAAAAACCTTCGGGTATTTTAATTGTGTCCAACTACCAAATGTTTTCGACACAATATCAGTTTTATACTATTTTATTTCCTGTTTAGTTTTAGAAAACCTGTTTTACTGCTTAGTGTGCAGAAGTAATTGGCTTCAAAAGTTGTTTTTCTTTATAAATCCATCATGTTCGATAATCTCGATTCTATTAATAAGTTTTTCAGGAGATTTTGAAAAACTCCATTTGATTTAAACAAGTGAAACTTAATTCAGTTGCGTCAAGTTACCCTCACAGCCGACTGCAACGCTGGGTCATAATGGCTTATTCCAAATCTGCTAAAACGCGCATTCATTAAATGAGTCTGATAGAAACCTAGTAAGTTCTAGATTCATTACTTTGAAAATCCGACATGGCAGTTAAATTCGGTGGATTCCATGCCTCAGAATAGGCTGAGCTTGTAACTGAATTCATGGTTCCCGGTGGGGCCTCCTAGCTCAGGTGGCTACACTGTTGGCTGTATTCAAGACTACCCCTTGCTGTTGTCAGCATTAATCTCACCGACGTCATATGGTTTTCAACACCAGGAACAAAGTGAATGTCGACTCTGCTTAAACGCTGCTATTTAGTATATGTCAAGGTTATCTACTTCAAGGACCTACACATTTTAAAGATTGATCCTGAGACCAGAGTCTTCCGTGATGCGTTTTGCAAATTCAAAGTCAGATGTAGAAAGCATTTTACGAGATGCGCATGCGTTTTTCCTGAAAGGCTAAGTGTTATTTACATACGTATCTAAAAATTCCTGTTCCCTTTGATGTTTATTATTATTTTGGATGTAAAGTTGATTCCTAATAAATAATATTTCCGGAGAAATTTTCTAATGGGTAAACGAAATTTCAATCACTTTTTTGAATGTTGGAATGATTAATTCCGGAAATAAACTGATAATATGTCCTTCTGCAAACAAACCATTGAAATGTCGTTTCTGTGTAACGGTATTTTTATCTACTGTGCCAGTCGAACTGGTTGTAATAAATAAAGTATACGTCAAACCACGTGTTGTATGGCTGGAAATATTTGACCTGTATTTCAAGAACCAGAAGTCCACGTTAAGGTCGTAATATTGACCAGTAAAAAACATAAACCGAAGTTTCTTTCCGCAGTCTATCGTGCGGCCATCGGCAGGTACCCTTCCAGGTCACCTGCTGATACTCACTTCAAAGCAAAATGTTCTAAAATTATTCTGCATGTTTTTCAGGAAACCTGTGCAAAAATGCTTAATTGATTTTTTTGAAGATAGGTTCCCGCCTATTATGGTGAAAATACACGATGTTGAGCATTGCATGACTACATGTATTTAAGCGTATGCTTTATAAGTGGGCACTTAAACGACCATTGTTTAATTTGTGTGCCTTACATACAAATAAGAACACTTAACAAATACCAGCATAACACCCAAATAAATGATGAATAGATAATCACTGAAATGTTCGAGCCGGCAAAGAAGCCAGAAATTTCTGGACAGATATTGCACAGCAATTAATCAGTTTCACATTCTCCTGTTCGATTTCCAAAGTTGAGTTATGGTTTGGGTCTCAGATATGTGCGCATTATGTGTCAAACCTAAGAAGGTAGTTTTTAACGAAGAGAAAAAATTTAGTCGTCATAGCGCACCGGGATAAGATTTTTTACATCGTAAAGGTAATGTTAGCCAGTAGGTCACTAACCGATTTGGTTACGGCGATGGCTAATGTTAACCAAACAAGTGTGCACAGGCAGGTTAGTTGGTTCAACTATTTACCTCTCGGCGTTAGGAAACAATACGAATTAAGAAAAGTCATGTCGTGTGGCATTAACTTGCTTAGGTGAAAGACTAGATAGAGATTGCATGTTATTCACAGTGAAAAGTTCGCATTTAAATTTATTCTTCATGAATCACTCTCTTCAAACGGTCGTTGTTTTGTACTGTTGGTTTTGTGCATAGCTTTAGTTAAAAATTTCTTTTGAATTAATGCTTTTTGTAGTTAGACATTGTAAATTTTCCATTTGATTAGCTTGGTCAAATCAAAAGTAGATTTGGGGCATGCAAGAGGAGTTACAGCAGGGCCTAATCAAGCGAGACATGCAACTTGCCGTCGACCGCCTTTGGTTCACCGTTTGGGAAAAGCTAGCATATCCAAAATTACGCGCGTCCGTAAAGGCATGCGCGCATAATTTATATTAATTTTACGCCGCGCGCGGCAACTTGGATTTCCATCGATCTTGCTTGACTGATGCACGTAGCTGCTTAAGCTAAGTTGGTTTTGGAGGAAGTTGCCATGCCACATCGTTTCTCAAGTGGAAGACTACATCACATTGTTTTTCAATAATTACCCACGTTCAGAGAGTGCATACACTGTGAAATTACCAGGATCTCGATGACGGTGATTTAGATAGCGTAGAGAAGCACAGAGGGAAAATATAATTACGGATGGGACCTATTTCAAGCATCTAGTCAGAAACCAGACCTGACAAAATAAGCTCTCTGATTAATGAGATACAAGTTTGTCGGTCAGCTTTAAACCGTCAAGGAGCTCTAATATTCCGTGGTAATATCTCATTAGGATGAATTATTTGAAGACAATTAGCATGGCAGATACCGATTACATATAAAGTTGTAGTCTGGTTAAAATATCCGACACGACCCAATAGTATCTATAGTTAATTTTCAGATCTTAGCATAAGCATGTTAAAGCCGTGCGGCATGCCGCCTGTACAAAAAGTCCCGCAGTATCTTCAGAGACGATCATATCGGTACTTACTTCATCGATACATTGCGTCGCTTCTCATTCTCCATAGGTCAAGCGTGCTTTTCTACCACAAATAATTAGGCAGATAAATAACGTTTTCGGGTATCCGGCAAAGTAATGTTCGTAGGGACCGTCAGAAAGAATTAGAAAGCTTTTTTTCCAAAGAGTTAGAGACAAGTTCGCGTATTAATTTTCAAAGAAATAAAAAGGTCACCGATCTTATTATTTGTCAAACGCTTTCCTTATGCTGTTACCAAAACCTTAAAATTGAAACTGTTGTCCGATGGAATTTTGTGTACAATGTGATCTAGCTCACCAAGTTCCCATTAAAAAACGTCCTTTGAGGACGCAATAAAATAAAGCACATGCAGAGGTGTTTGTTAGAGTAAACAGGTCTGTTTTAGTGTTTTTTTAGGTGGAAGTTAGGCGGTGGAAGTAATACTGACGAGTGAGATATTATCTGCGAGTAATTTAATATTGCGGGGTGTAGGTGTGAATGTAAGACATGAGTTTGGGCGTAGATGTTAGTAAATCCCTTTAAGGCGATGGAATGTGGGATGACTGTAAAGATAACATGTGGGTTCATAACCTGGGATTTAGAAAAATAAATAAAATAATACACGAGCAATTGAGATCTGGCATGACGCCAAAAGTTAAACAAAACTTGTATACTCGCACATCGCAGTCTGAAACTAATGGTTCACTGCAATCTGAACAGAGAATGAAGACGTACTGGACCCGCGTGAAGTATATGACGCCTCGTGGACTCAGTCGCTGGCCTAACGCAATTTTGATATTCGTTTAATGGGTGCTCAAGGCGACTTTTTTCAAAGTTCTAAGATGTAGCAGAATATAACATGTATGACAACCAAAGTATTCAAGAACGACGTATCTGCAGAAATAAAGTATACTACATTCATTAAAATGACCCTGTTACGCGTTGTGCTTTCTGTGCGACGGAACGTTTTAGTTAAATTTCCTATAACATACAATTAAATACTTTGCTATCAAAATGGGACTATAAATCGGACGTTATCTGTTGCGCAAATTAGTATTTCTCGTTTAGAAATGTGTGGAAGTCATCTAAATATCTTACACTCGCTGATTAACGAATTACTGAAACAATTTAGAAAGTAAAGACAGAGTAGAACGGTCATGGACAAAAACCTCTAGCTCACATTTATTTTTAATGAGCAATACTCATGCTCAGCACCCTTCTGTGCACTCCTTACTTTTCCATACTTGCCCCTAACTCGAGCAGACTGCTGCGCTAATTTTGCCTTAACAGCGTACAAAAGTTCTGGGCAGAACGCTTTCGCTGCGTACGTTCGGCTTTGCTGGTAGTGCGCGAGTGGGCGATGGCGACTGCGCCGCATGCCTGTCATGTCCCAGTCCTCCAGTGTTCTCTCCGTCTCTCGATGAATGCTTAAGAGAGGATTGACTAAACATAAACAGGACCGTAGAATGTGGTGTGCTGCCCATCCGCACCAGTTCTCTTGCCGTCTACAAGTGGCTTAAAACTGAACAGATCTCTTAGCTTAGTCCATTTACACTCAGGATAAGCCTGTAAAACACGCAGAGGACTTTCAAATTTTGTAATAATGCAACGGGTGGTTGGTCTAAACTTAAAGCACAATAAGCAGACCACTCTAGGCTTCAATGTAATCGTACGAATTCAAGAGCTGGTCAGTTTAAGCAAATGCCCGCAAAATATGAGAACACACATTTCGCTTAAGGTCATATTTTAAAACTGGAATTAGCAGCTATATAAAGTGTCGGGACTAGAAACAAAAATAATGTAACTAAATAAAGTTTGAACAGCGTAGATTAGATTTAAAGGAGTTGCTGTCACGCACCTCAAAATGAAGAATTTACACAGACGTATTGCAAGCATGACAGTGTGCGACTAATTGAAGCTAGCATTAATCTTTCGTACAAATATTCGCTGGAAAGTCGATCTGAAAACTTGACGATCAACAATGGGAACAAATGCTTTGTGCCACTAAAAATAAGAGAACGTATTTAGTTTACCCTTTCAAAAATAACCTTTAAGTCTAATACAAGATTTCAAGTGCTTTCATAGTAAGCATAAGAGGAATGCACCTATTTTACTGTTGTCACAAATGGTACAATAAAGTTTTTGAAAAAGGCAAAGATGACAAGACATACAAAATTAAATGCTACACATAATTTAGCGAAGTGTGAACAATCAGTGCATGTTTATCAAACTATTAAAATGATGAAAAAAAACAATTTAGATCAGACGGGTGAAATTGGCATATAAATGACAGAGGGATCTGGTTGGACTGCTCATAGCACTGGTTTGAGGTAGGAGTGTCGTGGGTGTGCGAGTTTTTATTGGAACAGGCCTCTTCATCCCGGAACCCAGAAATGTGAGTACTATGTCCCCAGGCGTGATGGCACGTCCGAACCCGTCGAGTGATGGTTTCTGGTTTACGATTGAGCAGACATAAACCACATGCTACTTTTTGATTTAGACCCCATTATAAATGTTTTACTCAGACCTATTCAAATATTCTTATGTTTACCACATCAAGCCGTGCTTATGAGTTTGCGTGGATTTGAGATTGTAAATGGGCAAAAGAATGTGCTGATTTGGTTGACTGAGCATATACTCAGATGACCACTGTGAGCCGAAAATCAGGTATCGACGTCATGCTGAAGTCAACAGTGGATAGTGGGCAGACACAGCACCCAACAGCAGTGTTTTTGTTTTAACGCCAAGAAAAGATTAAGGGTATCGTGCACAGTCCAACCATTATTGATATCGCAAGTTAGAGAGAGGAATTAACCCTCTCCTATCCTCTAATCCCTAGCCCACGTCGTTGACTACTGCTGCACTCTGTGTAGCCCCAATCACATTTGAAACCCTTAGCGATAGTCGAAGCTGGTTCAACAATACCAAACCCCCTCTTACCAAGCCTACCGCATGTATGACCCAAGTCCCCTGTCTTTTATACGCCTAACCGGCCCGTTTGTGTTTGAATGCTTTTAATCATACTGCAAGCTTGGAAATTATAGAGTATCCTCCGCGGATGGACGGGAGGTCTTAAAAATTACGCTGGCATTACTTGGTCCATGTTTTACTGCCTCTGCTCTGTTCAAATTATGATACGGGACACCATTGTACAACCCTATAATTAGTGCTTTCGTTCATTTATTGCCCGTTTTTGAACTTAAAAAAAGGCTGAAGCAAGAACTTCATGCAATTAATTTTGTGGGAGTGATAACAGAGATTAGTGCGTGTTAGTTGAATCGGGTTGAACATTTTTCAGAATTCTGTTATTTGTCTGCAAATCAGGGAATGAATGCATAAAGTGACAGGCAACTGCTGCTCTGAATTGACTATGTAGTGTGTTATTTATTTTTGGATTGACGATACTTTACAGGCCTTGTCAAGGTGAAATCGAGAGGGCGACGGCCTGATATCCCCCGCGGTGAGGATTCGCAAAAATGTGACCAGCAAAGGCTGGATCTAAACTCTCAGGCTGTAGTGCACACTGAAGAAACCGTTCAAGTCGTTAACCCTCCTGTAGCACCTACCGTAAGCCACGATGGCTCAAAGATAAGACGACTAGCCTGAGGCCTAGTAGTCAAATGCCAGCTCAATCAACGGACGTCCTGATCTTCCAGTCTCCTATAAGGTACTCTGTCATTACGTGGCATAAAAACCGGGACAAACCTGCCGACGTTCGACTAACAGCCGCAGTGACACCTCACCTCCATATCTGATGTTGCAATTTTGCTCAATCGGGGTAATTGACCAAACTGCAAGTTTTCAGCTAAACACCGTTTCAAGCAACTGTGTCGGTGAGTAATATTATTAAGTAGTTCCGTGTCAACAATCATCAAAGGTGATAAAATTACGCTTTTTAATGACTTGTGTGCGAATAAACAAGTTGTCACTGCCCCGTATCAGTTTTTGGGTCGCCGAAAAGTTGATATTTGTGACCGACATATAGTTGCGTGACGATGACGTTCTGTAATTACTGCCTTGCCCTTCTATGCCGTTGTCTCTGATGGTAGGTCCAAGTCTGCATTCGAAGCGGAATGCAAACTAGTTTCTTATTCTTATGACCACATCTCCCACCTCACTATTTCTTAGGAGTCATCTTTTAATCCTATGAGCAAATTAGTGCCAGCCTTTCTAAAGTTTTATTTAAAAACATGATTTAAAGGTCCAAAGTCTTTTTTCCTCTAAGGAATAGTATAGAATGTTAGGCTATGCTCTTTTACCAAAACACTGCATTCATATTCAAATGTACAGTCATAAAATAGTATAGCAATTTACTAAATCAGTTAGAACGCCCCCTCGCAGCAAAATTGCAACAAAGTTTTCGTATTTTCCAGAAAAACCCGTCTAAATGCATGCCATAATTTGTTTATTTGGTTCTAATGAACTGACCAAAGTTTTGCTTCAATGCGGCGTGTTAAAAAACAACTTCTTCAGGAGGTTGAAGTTTTAAGGAATAAAGAATGTGAGTATTATCTAATTTTTTCACTCGCCTTGTTGCCATATTATTTTCAGTCAAAGAATCCCAACCATTCTGGAGCAGGTGATTTGAAACTAAAGTTAAAACTCTAGTTATTTTTTTGATTACGGAATCGTGTCGTCAATTATACTTTGAGGTCCAATTGGGAACGCAGAAGTATTTTGAAACCGGTAACTTCATAGTAAAGCTAGGAATTTGTTCTTCATTTGCGCTTTCCCTTTTTTTCAAAAGTACAATTAAAAGCATTCCCATAAAATAGCTTATAACGTGCCAAATCACGGGGATTTGAATATGGACCAATGTCAGCGTAAGAGCTAGAAGGGTTAATGTTGGGGTTATAAGGACAAGTATTTGAGTTAGATTTTGGACTTGTGTTATATTTAGGACACGAGCACGAATACCCAGCTGGAGTTTATCTCTAGGGTGCCTGTGGTAGAGGATGAGTATTTATATCTGTATCTATCTCGTTTTCAAGATGCTGTCAATACGTCCACAATACGAACAAGTGCTACCAGAATTGAAATCGTGAATGATATACGATTGTCATGTCACGATGCTTCGCAAATGGAAACATCCAGTGTGACTCATTTATAGGACTGACTAATTCACCCTTCGTTCAATAAGCTGCTTAGAAATATCGACGATGAAGGGCCGAGTCAAGAGAAACCAAAACGTCTGACAGGAGTCATAATAACCTCGATTGTCTCCCAATTGAAACAATGGTCATTTTTCAGTAAGAACACAGGAACGAGCGGTAGGGGATCATGCGGCCGGGCAGCCGTTTATGTTTAAGAAGACGGGTCGCCAAGTATCAAACGTTGTAACCGACGTGCACAGGAGAGCAGAGGTCGCCGAATATGTGGGCAACTTTGTGTCCTGGTTGTTTTCGATGGCGCTTTAGACCCGTGGTAGTACATTTTGACGAGGTCCGGTGTGTACCCATTAGACATAAATGGATGACAGCGATCGTTCTATTCACTGCTAGACATGCATTTGTTGCTATTCTATTCAAGGTCATGTTTAAATTTATTTTGAATTACTTCTTTTTAGAAGGTAGACAAGGACAGTTTAAGCGCTTGAGTTTACACCTGAAACAAGAGTTTTGAGGTCGTGAGCTGTTATTAATTTCAATTTGTGAGTAAAACGTTTTAGTGAGACATCACTGTTTAATATTTGATGGCGGTATTTAACCGTTTTTCTCTTTAAGACGACCGTGGCGTGATCGTGTGAAGTTACCGAAAAGTGGATATATCATAGAGATTTTTGGAGTTGTCTGGGCCTGCTGTTATAATATTTTTTCGACTTTACTGTTGTTTTCAGATGGAAGCTAGTAATATATGCCCCATTTGTGGACGGAATATTATTTATCAAATTTGTCGATTACTGAGTCCATTGTTTAATAGCCAAGTGATTTTGTACTAAATACGAAGGCAATTTTTGGCAAAAAATATAGCTGTCAGTTGAGTTAGGATGCAATGGCGGAGTGTGCATCAGACAGGCAGGTTTCTCTGGGCTTGACATCTCGGTACCAACAACGTCAACCGTCATATTGACCTCGGTAAGTACTGTATAAATCCATTAGCACGATTTATTAGCCCTCCTAACACACCAATACTAATTCGTGCGAGCAACATACTATCCGTCCTTTTTAAGAGGTCCTATATGTTGTTTTACTGTAGAAGAGAATGGCTGAAACTTTGCTTTGCCTATCGCACTGGTAGGCAGAATGAGTTACTGACTGCGGTCTACCTACGCCTCAACCGCCAGAAAGCGAATTTAACACACTAACCCTATCCGCGTGAATAGTCTTATAATTACTTACAGATGAAAAATAATTGCCGACATTGTAAAAACCTTGCTGCTTTCTGAATAACACACAGAACCGCCCTTTGTTGCGATTCTCGGAGTTTTATTTTCATATGTCATAAGTTGCCTCTCACTTTAAATACAAGTTGTCATGCATTTGGAGTGTGCTTGAATTGCCGCAAACCCATCCATTGACATTTTTGATCTACTTATTTAGGCTTTGCATATTTATATCACAAATACTCTTACGGATCACAAGCATAGAAAATAGAGCGAATGTCAATCTTAACCTACATTAATCTTAAAAAGATGAACTGACAAAACGTACGAAAATGTTTAAAGTGAGATTCCGCAGTTGTCAGTCACCATACTCCGTGGTCAGCAAATTAAGTATCAATGTTAAGACTCTACTTTACTTTGAATTATCGTTTGTTCCTACGCCTGTCTTTAAACTCGGTCTGTGCAGGAGACACTGGTATGTGATTTTGAGCTTTGAGCACGACCAAACCCTTGCGGCCTGTTTCGAGGTTCTGTCATGGTCATTACGTTCACCAATTTACACCTTTACACTTTGAAATCTTTTTATACTAGCATAGCAATTTGAAATTAATTCCTGAAGTCTCGTCAAGTAAATCAAAAATGTGTACAGTCAAAACACAAGTTGAACTAACAGCGTAAGGGCAGCTTGCATAACAGCCACAAAATAACTTTCATAGCTCATTCGTAACTCGATGCCCAGACTAGTATTTAACTTATGCTAGGTGTGTCACTTTGACTTATCTCTGTATCATGATCTTAACTCGTCTCATTGCAGCTTAGGATATGCTTTTGCTTCTATTTGAACTCGCTTTTGGTTTTACGAAAAACAGACCAACTGAAGTAGTTCTCGCCATCCTCCTCCCGCGTTTCTTCTGCCTTATGTTTAGTTGAAGGAAAGTTAGGCAAAAATAAAAAGGCAAAAAGTATTGCAACAGTGGAAATAGGCCTGGGAGTGCTAGTTTCGCACTGATAAGCTCCCAGCACGCAGCGCCTAGGCAGAACTGACACATTGGGTATCGAAAAATATTGTTCCTTCTGTACGCACCTTTATTTTACCAAGTTGAAAATTACCACAGTCGAAAGGCCAGCGCTCCACGCTCTAGCATGATTGCCGAGCTAATAAGGGGTTGTGACATTAGGCCTAGTACTTTAAATTCTCAAGCCCACAGCGATGATTTCTCTACAAACGGTACTCAGAAAACTGGGAATGTAATCACTGTAATCACCTTTTCAGGCTTTTACTCCGCTATGAGATAACACCACTTTAACTAAATCTGCCACCGCACCGGTGCTTTAAATATGGTTTCAATATGTCACTTCGGGTTCAGGGATTTTAGCAAATGAGGCATGGGGCTCATCTTCCGTCGGCTGCATTTGGGATTGTTTGGAGTTTATAAACTTGGAACCCTGTATCAAGTATTCGCATTGCGGTCGAATCGCGTATGATGACAAGCCCAGCAGCTCAGGCTTCATGAGTTTTAGACTTAAACTTCGAAATTTCCCACTGAAATGGGCTTCCAGCCTTTGGTCCCTCAGCGCCTCAAGTGTTGGTGGGGTTGTCTAATAGTGAGAAATAAGCCACAAATGGTTGTTCCGTTCTTCCAAAGTTAGTCGACACTATTTCTAACTTGCCAGTATTATTTGTGCCAGCCACAACCTATTTTCACTCTCTCTATAACATCATTTTCAAAAAACTTCACGGACACTTAAATAGACCATTTAATCAAACGAAGAGACAAAAGAAAGATCTCGTCTGCAATGTTCTCTTGCTAAAGGAGTTTCTTAGTTTGCCTAAAAGTGTCGTAAAAATTAATCTATCTTTTGCTTTCTTCGGATTTTCTAATCTTTAGCGATGCCTAACCGCAAAAAACTTATCAATGGGTATTAATAGACCGTTCTCTTAATCAAGTCAGGCAAATAGTTTTAATACTGCCATAGTTAGTAAGCATACTTGCATAAGTACTTGCCTTTGGTTCTTTCCTAGCTTCTTGGCTTCAAAATCACAAAATGTCACTCGTGGGAAATTTCCTGACGTGTACCATTGTGTACCTTGAATCAGATCCAACAACACTCGAATGCCGTAGAAGGCATAATTTGGTGCAATGAACTTTTCCATGAGCACAAGCTGCCCAACGATGTTGATCAGATAAAGAACCTTGACAAAGAAGTAAAGGACGACCAGAAAGTTTCCACTTCGCCTGCCACAGCACCATGGTTTTGACTGAGATTGATTAAAACAGCCTTTATGGGCTGATATTTTGCCAAGGCCACCGACGGGCTCTCCGAGATCACAAGACACGGAGAGCACGCCCGGTATAGCGGGGCTGTCTGTGATAGGGTTTAAAGGCGACTTTCTGCTCCGTCTTCCTAACAGGGCCGAACGGGAACCCTTACGGAAACCAAATTTCAGCCTCTCACAGAGGGAATTTCGCGATTTGTGACGCCTGGAGAGACTGAGAGATCCCGTCGCTTCCCCGTTACTTCGCACAATTCCCCTGTGGTGCATCGGTCTGGAGACAGTGCCACGAGTCTCTGGCGTGGCACTCTCAGTCACCGACTTGGAGTATTGGGGTGGAGGTAGACCGTGCTCTGGACGTTCACTCGTCGCAAGGAATTGCGTCTCTGGGCCAGCACCGGACACGGGAAATTGCTGTAAGCCCATCCGGTAGGAGGTTTGATAAGGGAAATTTGCAGGCGCCATTGAAGATCGTGCATTGTTGTCCCGTCGACCACAGTCTCGGTTCTTGTAGTCACGTTGTCGGTAAATGCAACTCTCCATGTAGCGAGCGATAAAGCGAACATTTTTAAATCCATGTTCCGGCAATAGAATGTTTGAGTCGTTTGCCATCTGCATGATTCGCCGCACGTTAAAACCAGAGTGGCAGTAGAATAATCGCCAGATAAGACAGGGCAAGTAGAACAGTAGTGCTTGAATGGCCATCAAGATGGGAGCCCACTGATAGTAAACGATGAGATTGGCACTGCGATCGCCGGTCGAAGGAAGTCGCTTATCTAGGGGTGAAAAGTAGGTGCTAGCGACCCAGCAGTAGTTTTCAGCATACTCCTCCCAGCCACGCGTGAACTCCTGTGGTATCCAACACTGGATTGGTTTACCTATGATCGAATATAGTTTTGGAAACGTTATGAGTCAATAGATCTCTCTTTATAGATAAAAACAGGGCGTTTAAATAAGAGACTCATTAGGATTTCCAGCAGCCGCGCGCCTACTAGACGCATAATAATCCTCTAGTAAACTACTAGGGTAACTGAATTTAAATGAAATCCGGCAGCAGGACTTTTGTTACTGTTACTAAGTAAATGGTAGTCTGGCTACCCTGAGTGTGTACACGAAAGCAATATTCATACTAGAATTGCAAAATGGGTAAGAAAGTAGGAAGAACACCGATAAAAAACAGCCGTATAGCAGCAACCAGTTCAGTCTGTTCAAATGATGCTGATAATTGCACCGGCAAGATTGATAATGCCCACCGCCGTCTTCCATCGTCCACAGGACAGTTATGGTAGTTTTTATCACAGAACCCAAACCCATTCTCCATGCATTAACAGTTGACCTATTGACGCACGATGCTTCAGTCTGCCGCTGGTGTTAATTGTTGTGAATTGTGATATCGATATTGTGTTTGGTGATGGCGACTTTCGTACTCTAGAAAGCGCCAAGTGGATGAACAATGGTAGTTGCAAGCTGAAAAATGTGCTCTGTTAATGCCTAAGTTACGACCCATAGTCTTTTATATAAAAAAAATAATTACAGCAGAGGGTATAATGCGGTCTCGTGAAGGATACTGACTTGAAAATGGAAACCTAGACAACCAAAGCGGTAAAATAATTTAATAGATAAAACTAATGACTATTAAAACCGTTGGGTTAAGATTCCGCTTAATGCCGAGGCCAAACTGATTTGTCGAAGAATGACTTTCTTTAAATAATCTGCTTTACCGAATGTATATTCCGGTCTTCCGGCGGTTCATACGCCTACGTGTATGCCAGTTTTCAAAGTGCATTTAAATAGTAGAAAGTGAATAAACCTGAATCTAATGCTTAAGTGGAGAAGGTAATTAGACGTCGACCTTCGGTTTATTTCTCTATAATGTAACTCCGCATGCACTGTAGCTTTATACTGATGTTTTTATAAACACAGCGTAGGGATATTTGACCAAAAGTGTGGAGGGACGTTTAATTTCACGTGACAGGGTTCTGAGAGATTAAGGTATGCATCAAAATTTTAAAATGCATGCGATAAAAGAAGCTAAGTTAATCGGCCCCACTATCGCCAACTCATCAACGAATGCGCGTGTTTTGTCGAAACATAACCAGGCTATAAATAAGCAATAAATATGCAAGTTATCGTTGCATAAAATTTAGCAACTTTTGATTCTAGATTGAAATAAGTGCGACTAGGTATTTAAAAAATGAAAAATTTGTGCAACGAACGACAAAGGTGCTTATGGAGATATCTGCCCCGTTGTCCTTGTAACTGTTGCAAAAACTTTGATAAAAATCCAACAATGCTTCTAAAGCGAGACAGCCCTTGTGTAGGTCTTTTTTCAAAAACTGCTATAAAATACGAAAACGAGAAACAAAGCTAGTAAGATGTGACTGAAGGCACGCCGCTTGATCTGCAGTTGTGAGTTGTTTATCATCGCAACGCAGTCTTTCACGGCAAAAAATCTCTTCTTTTATTTTCCAGCTATTATCAAATTTCAACTTTTCTCCATTTCAGACATTAACAACTACCAACTCCGCGTCATTTTTAAAATTGGTGCAATGCTCATTTGCACCTTCATGACTTTTAGCGTGCTGCAGGCACTGTACTCCATTCGTAGGCCAAAATATCAAACGCCTATAGTTTTCTATTCTTTTGACTTGCCGTAAAATTTACTTTTCCATTTATTGACGTTTTTGCCGCAAAATAAGATAGCCTGGTAAATAACGGGGGAAATTCAAATGGTCAATTTTATTCGTCAACGTTTGTAACTTTCCAAAAATATTATTTTTATAGATATGGCACCTAGAATACACAGAGCAGGATAATCAATGAATCTTCTTATGATGATCGAGGTTTGCGTTTAAAGTCCACAAATTCGGCATGGCAGTCGCATACGATGATAAATCATTTATTCGTTATTATTTAAATCATTACATTGCGCAAAGTTTTGTTAAGATTACTTTGTCCATAAAATTAATGCCTTGAAAACTTGGACCTTTCCAGAAACTAATGCACATGCGTGTCATTAAAGCATTTATAAATTACTGCGTATTGAAGATCCGCCAGCCATTTTATGACTCTAGTTCGTTTTTAAAACGTTTGATGCTCAGTGGAATGGCAAAACGTCTCTTGAATAGATACTGCATTCCAGCATTTTTAATACAGCCCTGCAGGCTAGGTAAGTATACGTGAGTTTGTTTGCTCAATAAGCGTTTTTACTATAAAATAAAAAAGGGAATTTATATGAGACGTTTCTGTATAAAGAACAGTATTCCATACTAATGACAAACGCAAAAATATTAATATGCTGTAGTGTGCGACGGTGGTGTCTTTAAGTAAACCCAGATCTTCAAAGTAAAATTCTTTATATAGCGACGTGATTTCGAAAACTGAGCACGCGAACCATATCATACTCATTCTTCCTTATCTAAAAGTGAAATCGTGCAATGCTCTTTGCATACAAAAAAAGTATCATGACATGTGAAAACAACTCTGCTATTACAGCTTTGGCATTTGTTTGTGTAATAGCCGCATATGTCGACCTAACCCTGCCTTATCCTGCGGGAAACATCTTTAGCATGAATTGTCATTTTTCACTTTCTTTCCAAATTTGATTGTTTCCTCTAGATTGTAAACTTTTGGGTCAATTTTTATACTCTTAGAATCTTGTGGGCAAAAATATTTGTGTAGTTCTTAACAGATTTCGCAGATGTCGAAATGGATTTTTATCGGGGACTCCGTTATTTCGCACTTTTAATGTCAACAGAAACTTATAAATATATAACTTGAAGTTTCTGACCCTGTTTGTTTGCTTGTTCTGACATGGCTGATTTCTTGGAGCGTAAACTAGCATGCACCACTATCGACCTTTACAGATTCCCCACGACCTCGTGGACGCAGGAATGTCAGGTCAGAAATCCTACTGAACATGTGCTGGGCAGTTCGTTCTCGAAAGAAAAAAGCATAAAACTTTCTCCGGCTTCAGGTCATGTGAAGGTGGACGTTAGTGATGTACGACTTAAACATATCGCAACAGGAATGCGACTGCCCGCTTTGGCAGTCCAAAAACCATTTGTGCTGATCGCAAAGGGATTAGGCTTGTCGGCATTAAAGTAAGGAAAACATGGATATTTACGTGGATCGATGCATCCTGAGATGTAGGCAAAAAATAAACGTCAAATGTGTGTCTACGGTAAATCATCAGCTACAATAAAAGCTCAAGTTAATGAGTCATAGTCCACAAAATTATGTTGCACACACGATCAGAACTGTTTTAAAAATTTGCATTTTGTTCGTTTTACCTGGCAATTTCTTCCTGAACTAATATATAATATAAACGCCAAAGCTTTTTGAGCATAGGTAGGTTTGATAAGTAGCACTGGCCAATTGTTTATACCATACTATATATATCTTGTCCTGTAATATCCGAGAGAGTACTTCTTGCACTCGAATAATATGTTAAGCAAAAAACATCATATAAAGAAGATAACCAAATAAGCTTCTTGACGAAGTGCCGAAAATATAAATCATTTTATTGGCCGCTGACAAAAGTTTAAGCACATTGCAAAATAAAGCTTCCATTTCCTGAGATTTACACACAATCTCGTCTGTTGCATCTTAATGCTGTAGTTATTTGTTGTTTGTTTTACAAACCAATATTTTTTACCCTAAATATGACGTTACGAACATTACGCAGAGGGTGATATAAAGCATCATCACCTCCATTTCATACAGTCCCCTATGAAAACTAATAATAGATTGAGTATTATTCTCTATCACCTAAAAATCACTTTATATCTGCGCATAAAAGATGCGACCTAAAGTAGCATAATTAAATCTATACAAAAAACTTAAACCAGCTTTGAGCTTTGAACTACCTTATAATGGAATCTCAATAACTCATTTGGGGTTTTTGCAGGACAAATATGATTTTTAAAGGCAAAGAGTTGCATATCAGTTTACAATATTGAAAATAAACAAGTAACTGCAAGGTGTAAAGACGTTCTATGAATTTTAATTTTTTTTGCTAGGTGTGTCGGTAATCATTTGAACTGTCCGGCTTATAAGTCAAATGGCATCTCTTCAGGTTAACATTTTATGGTTGCGGATCGCAAAAACGATTTTCCATAGACTTATCTATTTTTCGATTAGTCGTTTGAACTACCACTTAACATGCGTCTTCCGTAAATCAGGTTCTTGCGACTTATTCGCCACAGCGATGCTTTACCTACAGAAACTTATTCTTTGCTTAAGTTTACATTTGGGTGATCGTAAAACTTACCGGGTTGCTACAAATTTTCACTTGCCTATTCTATTCTTCCTGAATTTTGGGAATAATTAGCATTGTAGACGCAAAACCTAATACAAGTGAGCATCTTTCAATGAAGCAATTTACCCTGCTTTATTTTCCCTTGATTCACGGAACGAAATAATAATAAGTATAAGGTCACGCTTACTAGGCTTTGAAATCAACCTAGTGAAAAGCCCGTGAATTATTTTAAAAAGTTAATGTCAAAATTTATACGTAAACTGACATGCATTATTCTTTTTTGAACAATTTTGGAATCATGCAATTCTGAGTTTTCATTTATTTTGAGAACATAGTAACGCAGGTTGTATATTTGCTAATGGTAAATTGCAAAATGCCCTTTACAGAGTATTCACTAAGACCGATATGTATTAAAAGTCAGATTTTTGTTTGAAAAGTCTGTAAAACTTCTGACTGTTAATTACTCTGACGAAAAATTCAGGCGGCAAATATTCTATAGTAAACTTTATTTAAATATACAGTCTCTTCAGGGTCATATCTTGCGGCCAGCATATTTTTAATTTCAGCTTGATGCGTTGTTTGCACTTCGCATCCCTTCTATCTGTACGAGGAGCTCATAGCCCTTGTAAGCAATGCCAAAACAGATGAGTCTTTTGTGCTACCTCTCCTGGTTGGCAGTATTCTTTCTTTCAAAGTGGTAAGAAAGCCGTTTGTGCAAATCGACACTCAGAAAATCATGGCCGATTCAACAGAGTTTTATTTCGCTTAAGTTATTGAAACTCACTAGTACTCACATAGTCAGACTTATTGAAATCCAATACAGTTTAAGAGCACTCCTTGTTATGTAAATAAAGGTATCGATTCAAACACTATTCACTCGTTAAGGTCAAAAATCATGTCATACACGCACAGCGAAATACAGGTGCATCAAGCCAGATATTACGCAAAAATGCTTGCCTCATTCAAATATGAATAAAATGCTTTCACATCCAAAAACTCAGCTGAGATGCATGACGTGCGACTAAAGCCCCGTGGGTTATCCCTAACTTTCGAAGTTTGCTTTTTAGAGAAACCGTTACGTCAGTGTATCTGGAGTACTGAGCAGTAGAGGTAATCTTAACAAAATTCATACAGGTGACGATACTGTTCTTCGGTTGAGCACCTCTCTGTCCGCCTGCGTGAAGCATACCAGCAACTAAATTGCTATTTTACTCGTAACTTTTAAACTTGTTCTCGATGCCTCAAGCACATTCGACTGGACCTTCTAAAATGCCTAAAACCACACTTGTATCGAAGGGGTTGCGATTTTTAACTTAAGGCCTGCACTCTCCAGAGGTCTTTAAGATCTGGCCTTTAATTTCATAAAGCTTTATATCTTTAATTCTCCAAACCCCTTAAAAGTATTACCATAACCTATCTACACTAAATGATTATATAACCAGCAGGGAACTCGTTCATTGTAGCATAAAGAGATAACTTATTTTCAAGGGGCGTGCACACAGCACAAAAACAAGTAACTGTTCGTGAAAATGAAAATGCTGGTTTACTTTGCGCCAACGAACGAACCCTGTAAACACCAAAGCCCACATTTTTCTAGTGTGCACCTTTTTATAAATTGATTGTAGGAAACGCTCTCTGCCTTGAGGCTTTGAGCTAGCGTACGCGAGCATTTAAAAAAGTAAAACTCGCGTTAGTCAAGCAATAATTTCTACGAAAGCATTATTCATGTAGCTCATTTTAGGATTCTTCTTCGAAGACTGGCATCCTGAGGTGTATAAAATACTTAGTTACAATAAGTCATGGCTCGAGTCATGCGTGACAAAATGCCTTGCATGATGAACCACCAGTACTTTTGCTGAACTTGTTGGGGGCCAAGATGATATATGAACCGAATAACGCAACTCTGAAAAAATTTCATGAATGCCCTCGCAAACGCTTTTGCGCTTATGCATTCTGATCAACGAAGAACGTAGGTCTTAGTATGGTGTGAACCTCGAATAAATGAAGTAAATTTACATCGTCGATTGCGTGACAACCCATAATTTTCAAAACAGTCTAGCCGCAAAAGCGACGACCAACTTATTTAAACCCAAGGCCCGATTTAGGTCTGCGGCTGTAGTTGGTTTTCTTTTACTAGCCTTAAACAGTTACACCAGAGCATACGATAAACCTCCACATCGATTAACACAGTTGTAATGGCGCGTAAATTTAATTAAAATCTCACGCCATCCCGCCATTAACTAAGTGGAAAAGCGTAACGAATGATTCCCTTTAAACTCCTTGTCACCAAACTATATCCTGTAGTGCAAACGTTACTACTTACACACGGATGCAATTCTTAAGCCCTTAATAGCTAATAAATAGACAAACCGAGGACCAAATAGAGGTCGTCTGCATAGTTATGCTTAAACTAATTTACTTGTCGCGCATATAAATTCTAACACAAAGGAAATAAGAGTCAGCGAATGCTCAGTTAGATCAGTTACAAATCATTCGATAAATTATATAAGAGAACGTAAAATATATTCATCTCTTTTGTCAAACGTTGCTTGACCGGTTATTACAATTTTGGCATGCTATACCCAAAGCACAATGGGATTTATCAAAAGTTACTGGCAATATTACATGCGTTACTTGTTTATCATAGCAATGAACAACAAATATGTCCTCCTGCATTTAATCGACTATTCCACATCACTAGAAATATTTTCAAACACAACCATCCTATGGACAGTTAAGCCCATTCATATTGACGTGTATAATATGCGAGTTACTGATTTTCTACCCAGTTTTATGTCAAAACCGATTTTTCCAAGTGTCTGGGCTATTGCAGTCTGTCATTATTACTTATCGTATTGGTTTGCGCAGCGTTTCACCCATAAAGCTATTCTCATGCGAAAGGATAAAATATCATTTAACGGAGGAAAAATCTAATGTTCAATAATGTGGCCTTGCTGGGAGTTTAAAAACGTTTCTATATGTCCTTTCAAATTCTTTTAGTAAAGTGAGCAAAAAACCTGTTATATCAGATGCAAATAGTCTTAGGATGTGGCTTTCTTTACCGTCAAATATATTCACAACCGGGAAATATTTCTATTTTTTTAAAACTCATTCTTTGATCAATAAGGTTAGGCGGGTTTGTTTTTATCTGAATTTAATTGTTCATTCGTCAACACAACTTTCTGCGCAAACTATGTACTTAACATTTGATTGCGTTCAAGCTAGCTTAATGTGCCCCGATCGTTCATCGTTGTAATTTCGAAACGCAACGAGAATAAGACTCCACTTTTCACTCTTTCATTATCTTATGCTTGAACAAGTCAGTAACTTTTACGGCATGCAATGTCTATGGCCATAACTTACTTGAGTAAACTAACAGAAATGGATTCCATGTTTACATTATCAAGTCGTTTTTTTTTAAATTTAAACTTCATCATCGCATTTGCTGGATTTAGTGGCCGTCACTCTGTATAGAGTGGTGCATGCTACTACAATATAACGGACTATTACAAATCTTAGTCGATAAACGGTTCGTAGCTCAGAGGGTTAGAGCGTTGGCTGTACTAAAGTTGTCCTTTGTTGTCCTGAACTCGAAGTCCATCTAGACACCAAGTTTTCAATAGTGGGGTCAACGTGCATTATTTGAAATCTGCCAAAACACCTCTGAATATACTGTTAGTTGGTAATGCAGTGCTGAGGACCTTGCTAGAAAAACTGTTGACTTTGCTTAAGCCCTCAGAACCTCCGGCACCTTAGGGCGTGCTATCTCTGCCTAATTTTGATTATTAAGCAGAAAATTGCGAACTTGGCGAGCTGTCTTTGTTGGCTGGATGTTTGGTTAGCGTCAGACAAGAGTATAAAGAAGAATCATCGGTTGGAGCTGGATATAAAGTGCTAGGGACTGCAAAGTTAACAAGTAGAGTGGACTAACCGACATATTGTCGAATGCCGATAACTCCAATGAAGAGGAACATTAAGACACCGCTGAACTGGTAGTTAAGCCGATCAGCAAAATCATCATCAAAGCGCAACCTGCTGGATCCAATGCGACCGAGCTTGCTGAGCTTCCAAATGAATGTGGCATCCATGGCCCCGTGTCCTCCACCCCCGAAATGACCACCGCCGTGGGATGTGTGATGCTGTGCCCCACCCGTTCCGTGGTAGCTGTGAGATTCGGAACCAAATGAAGACGAGTAGTAATGGCTGTTTCCCTGATTATGACTGTTTCCACCAGCGCGATGATAGTCACCTATAAATGCGTAGATAAAGGCAGAACATTCACCTTCACAATATCAAAATCGCGACAGCAGACTGTCAAACGTACTTGTTTTACTTGTCATTATTTCCAGTCAAAACTGTATACTTTGTTACAGCACCGTTTTGCAATAGTGGGTAAATATAATGAGCCTCTGCATCTTACGACGATCAAAACGTTCTAACCAAATCAAATCCCATACCTCACAATATGGAACGTGTTAGATTAATTTAGGTATAAGACCGTAAGAAGTTTCATCCAAAACATCATTGATTGCCCCTATCAAAGTAACATCTAAATAATACATGAAGTAATTCGGAAGGACAATAAACAAAGATGGTTTCTAAGCCTTACAAGTGAATTTCCAGTTTTTTATTTTAGTTTAATGAACCCAATACTAATTTATGGACGCCAAGGTATTCTCGTTCAAGGAAAGTTGATGTTAGCAGCTATTGTTAGTACAATTTCATATTATTTTATAAGAGTGACGACAACAGACCATGGATATTGTTGACAAGGAAGGATACTCACCTTATTTGATCCCTTACTTTTCCGCTAATGACAGGCTTAGTACAATACTATGTTAGCCTTTAAAATCTTGATCTATATCTTCTTTTCAAAAATAATACTTCACTGCAAACTATTGTCTTTCGGCAGCTGTTGAACTCGGATCTATTTATCGAAAAGTCGTATTCGGCAAACGGAGAGTAATTCTTCATGGATGTAAAATTGCTCTCTCTGCAGATCCCCTTAAATCCTACTTCCTTCATTCTCTTAAGGCTTGCAGTATGTCAAATATTAGTAATTATAGAAGCAACTGCCAAACTGCTTTAACATGCGGTATATTGGCGGCAGCTAACTTCCAACCTGTTAGCGTTTTTTTCGTCAACAATGTATCCCCATCTCTTACCACCTGGTCAGTGAAGGGAGAGTACTTAGAAACATATTTAGGTGTCGACGTTACTAATTTGTCATGCAAATATAATAGAACAGTTTCCGGAACCACGAACAAATATGACGAAATACTGCTCATAACATATGCAAAGCCTATCACATGCAATTTTAAATTAAACAACTTTGCAATATTGAGACGTTTTCTATACTTTGGTGAAGTGACATGCATTCGAGCATTTAAAACAACATTTTAAAGTAAAAGACAAAGTTTTAGGGAAAATTGGGCCAAAGACGATTATTCTCTATGGAATCGCGGTAACACACAATTACTACAAGCAAGTAATAAGACTGCCGGCACATATTCACATAAAGAAGGTTCTTATAATTGTAACATAAGAACCAGCTCAAACGGATGTTATTCATGTTTTTGCTGTCAAGGCCTATAAATGGGAGCGCTTTTTATCTCAGTATGATTTGTGGTAAGTGCAGCTTACAAGTTATTTCCCGAATATAATTAATATACAGGATATGGTCTGTTTTATGAAACGCGTTAAAGAAAATTGAGACAATTACTTTGCGTTTAGGATGATGCATGTTTTGTTTGTTTGTCTAATCCGAACAGAAAGTGTTCTTTTGCATATAGAGTGCGTTTATATGCAATCGTCTCAGTCTGCATGTTTATACATTGGAGTCAAAAACCACGTAACCTTGTATTTTGTTAGGTATATTTGCCAATAGTCCTCCTGTACTAAGTTTGCGCATCCAAACCTCATTTTAAATTAGGCAAGAGTGGTCTCGGCTTGATGTTTAACAACCCAAAATCTACCATACTTTGAAACAGACTTCTTTTTCTCCACATGAGTCGGATGTCATATGATAAAAGAAAAGAGATTATATTTAGAAATCGGTAAAATGTTAACGAAGACCTTAAGGAAAATCTTATATCCAACTTACTCTTGCAAACTTAATTCCACTTTTTGTGTTTTTTTCACTCATTTGGTTGCACAGACAGCCTTTTTAAACATTTTGAACATAAGAATCTTCAATATTAGGGATTTTGGCGTTTTCTTTACTTTTGCGTTTTAAAAAGTCTATTTCTGAAAGAAAATCTCGACAACTACATTTATTTTATGTTTCAATTCGCGTGATGTCGCTCATTATTAATTCGGGGTTTTTGTTCACTCGTTTTGTCGGTTTGGAAGTAATTAGAAATGTTTCGTAAGTTTCAGTGCATCTCTTGGTTCATTAAATTAATTGTACGTATTTGTGATGCAAAAATGCTCGTTATAAAAAAGGCTTCAGCCTTGAATGTTCACGGTGGCAACAGTAACGTTTTATTAAGATAAATGAACAAGGATGATGTTCATTTCGTCGGATGAGAGATTGGTGTCACAAAATGTAGAGCAGCATTATTTTTCCTTCGGGCCTTCTTGGTTAAATATATTGTCTTACACTGCCAGCAATTTTAGTAGTTTTTCCACATGAGATGTATTCGATTTGAATTGTTAAATAATAATTAAGTCAAATGTAAGAGTGCTGGAATTGAAGTGTTCTTCGCACACACCATAGTTGCTTTCAGTTCCCTTTAATAATCAGGAAATTTAAAAGAATGACCATTTCCAGATGCAAGTTAACTTCCTGGATTTTGTCGTTTAAAGTCAGGCTTCCAAACGAGCATTATCGCGGCGACTATAAAAAAGAACTTGATAATTTGTATATTTTACGAATCATCGCCCAACTAGGTGCGATAATATATTTTAACTAGCTCAAACGCGTTGCAAAATATTTAACTTTAATAGAGCCACAAATATCCATGCAATTTGCCATATGTTAAACAGGCAGTAATAAATGACGTCTGTAAGCGAAAAAAAGTAAAAAAGGACATTGGATCTTTCTGTGCAAAATTAAAGATCATTTCAAGACGTAAAGTTCATTTTTAGGTCAGCTTGTGTTTTGTTTTACGTTAAGCCTTTTCGATAAAAGAACAGTCTATCTGTAGAAAATTAAAAATTGCAAAGAATGGCTGATACACGTTAAGGAAATATTTTGACATATTACCCTCACATATCATAAATATCAGAGTCCTAGACGTTCATTCTGATGATTTGGAACCTTCAAAGTCTTGTCGCATTCATTACAATATGATTATTTCACCTGGTTTTTCAACGCATAAGTTTCTGCACATCCATATCGCTAGCTCCTACACCTGTACCTTTAGAGGCACTTCTGCAAATATCCTTGTCAAACGGCTGTAAGATTTAGAGTGCTGTATTTATAACGAAACTACATGCTACTGGTATTATGTATGTGACTTTACTTGCCAGTGAAGAGGATTGATATCAGACTAATGAACTGTTTTCAACAGGAACTGACAACCTCACGATGAGCAGCTTTTTACGCTCAGTTCTAATTGAAGCAACATTGTTTTCTTTGCCTGTCGTTCTAATAATTCTCTTCTAATTAAGTTCGGAATCGTCTAATACGTACACCTGTTGATAATGTATCCTTTCATATTCAACTAAATATTGCGTTCTATCGATTCTATTGTATTTGTCTTTTTAGTAAAGATATTTAATGTTGAGTCATCTGGCAAATAATGAATTCCCTGTATTAAGCGGTTAGTTTCAGAAGTCATTCGAGTTTTTTGTTAAAAATGAACGTATCTCTTTAAGCTTATCTGACGCGGTCCGATTTCTTCTAAAACTGATGCCTGAGTCTGGCATAAATATATGAGAATATATTAGGTGTTTGTGCGCGCAATGAGGACGACTCTCTGTTTCTAAGTCTGATGACAAACTCAATGATTACTTTCGACAACCTACAAAATAAGTGCCGTTTTGGCAAAGGAAATTTACTGTACGTCTAATAAAATTTCTTGAATGCAAATCGGTTAATAATATACGCAAAAATATGTGCGGCAATTTGGATATGATATCCTATAAAAAGTTCAAATGTCCGACTTGACACTTTACCCACATATATTTGCCTTTACATTTGTGTGGGTTATACCTGTCCGGTAAGACATTATTGCATCTCTAATGTTTGACATAAAATACTAAATAAAATTCGTGAAATACACATATTTTTCCTCATTGTCTATTCTTTAGCGGTTGCTTCTTTTTCGTTAAGAAGGCCGCGACCGAATATTAATATTACATCATGAACTGTGTAGCTCCCAACAAAAAACGACATTTACATTTTGAATAGAATCTCGCTAAATTTGAAATCAATTATGGAGACTACTCTTTTACACTGAAGTGTCCTTAGAAAACCATATGTAAACCAGTGGCCTCTAATTATTTTTCATAGTGGCCGTTAGTATAAGCAAAATCGTTTATGATACATTAAACGCAAACGTCTTACCTCGGGTCATCGCCTGGAGAACGTCGTCGGCATCGACCCCAAACTGCAAAATCGCCAGTACCTTAGTAATCTAACCCAATGAAGAAGCACGCTTTTTCAGTGTTAATTTGTTTCTGCAAGGATTCTTTCCCTTTTATCCATCTTGCCTTTCTTACTTTGCTCACTTTCGGACGCTTGTGCCTTGTGAGAAGCCCTATGTTTCCTTGCAAATGCTGTATCTCCGGAAATGGTCGTGTGCCAAGTAGGTCTGCTCTCTGAGAGCAATCTGCACACGAAATTGTAGCAGAAAATTGAAGTGCTGATTAGCTATTAAGAAAATACGAAGGCTGACTTCATACGCTTATCCCCATTTTGGGCGTGTCGTTTCGCGTAAAAGTATGGGTTGGCCGGCCGGAGAACAGTTACCAGCCAATCAGTTCTTAAACCCTAGCAGCCAATTAAAGCGGCAGCTGTGCGCAAGAATGCAACTTCACACACACACATCCATCCAGCTTTCCCCATAGCTCTGGGTTTTTGCAAGCATAATGATTGTTTTGTTGCCATAGAGAGGCCACAACACATGTTTATCCGTCAATGTTTTATTTGGGAACCGATAACTTTCAGTTCACAAATTTTAACTTAACCTTTGTCGTCTTTCAGCACGCCGAAAGCGTGTAATTTAGATATTTTTTCCTTTTTCTTTATATTAATTTCAGTACTACTATACGACCAAGACGCGATTAAACTTTAAATGCTGTTGATCTTAAAATACTCTTAACAGTTCAAGAACACGTCTTTTCAAAGCAGCAGGGTTTGACTTTGATTTAACAAATATGTTCAATTGTTATATTTATATTTTGTGAAAATATCTGCGAACAGCATTCGACTAAGGTTTCTCTGTGCGACTGACCAGCAACAAAATTTAGAATTTAATTATGGAACACATTTCAAAACGCCTTTCTGGTATAATTGTTTGTATTGCATGCAGTAAACAAAAAGCGAGTATCAAGTTAATTCTATAAACTTTCCTTTAATATCCAGTACATTTTTCTGCGTTTTGCAATAAGGTCTATTTTTCATAAAGAGTTCATCATATCCGTAAATTTATTTTAGTGTACGGGTAATTGTTTAGGCACGTATTGCTAAGTTAGATAACTGTTAATAAACCACATGCTGAAAAAATAGCATTTATCTGCAAATGCGCTGTGCGGACAGCTCTCAAATTAGCATTAATAACAGAGGCAAGAGAGACAGGAATGACCATGTATGGCTTATCAGCCGTCATCCGAATGCTATACGTAAACCCAAGTTATGTATTTTCTGCAGCTTATACTTACGTTAAGTTTGTTGGAAATTTAACGCCTTAAAAAGTAAACTACGGGTTCCTTTCCCTGCAACTGCACCAGATCCGATAAACGATTCCAGACGTTTTTTCCCGTAGCAGCGGGCCTTTCGGCTTCATTACCAGATGCCTGATGGTTTCTTCCGGTCTGTTTATGCACACAAATAGAAAATGTGAATCCGAAACTTTGGGCGTTTCAGCAACCAGTGCCCTTCTCGCCTCAATTGCTTCCCGCTTCTAACATCAAAAAGGGATTTTCATGCCCAACAAATATCTTTTTTCTCCCTCGAATCTATTTCCACTGCACATATATGGAATTATAAACGTGCTTTTAAAGGCTGTGTACCCTTTACGAGCGTTGCTAATTGACAAGTGAACATGGTTTTCTTCTTTCGCCCATAGTCACTACAGATGACTTGACATTTACCAGTTATATAATGATAAGATTATTAATATTCCAAGGCAGCGTTGTTAGGTGCCTGTGTTGGTGATTATAATCTGACTGATGTTTTATGCAAAATTACATTGTTAAATTATAGTAAACTTTTAAAACTAATGGTCACCATTTTCGATCCAATTAATGTATTTGGGTTCGCACATTGAAAGTTGCTGACGGATAACTATTCAAAAATACTTTTAACACTTGACCAAACTGAGCAGAACCACAATGTCCTCCTATTAAATCCTGCAAGATTTTGACCAACATTCCTTTTAACGTGGCGACTACGAAGGAAGTCAGGTGTTGCCTCATTAAAGATTATACTTAGCGACTCTTGGATTATCTGGGACTAGGATATGCAGAGGAACTATTTCGTTAAAAGAATATATGCTTCTGTTCGTGTAGAAAGCCGATCAACGTTCCTTTTATTGCAAACGCATGGAATTAATTCTGCATTATGTGAGGGAAAATGTGCAATCGTGCTTGAGGCGGACACTGTAGAACACCATTATTTTTAACTCTGTTATCTGTCTAAAACCTTTTTTATGTGGTCTCCATTTAGTAAGAACTTCTGCAATGGTCAAACATGCTAGTGCTTGAAAAGCCTTACTATGTAATACTAGTACATGTCATAGTTTGTCCAGCGTAAACGCGGTACCTTTCAATCTATCGTAACAGTCAAGATTGATAGTGTCAATGGTTCGCCGCACGCACGACACATCTATCCGAGACTATAACAAAGCTCTAAACGATCGTCATTTAAAGGATGTTTAGAAGATAAGGAGATCTGAGCATCATTTCCTGACTTCATGTGCATCACAAAAGACCTGAGATTTCAACCCTGTATAATTTATATCCGCCGCTTCAATCTATCCGATTTGCGTCCGCACCCTGCCTTCGATTCTGCTCTGATGACAGCACATAGCAAATATTCAAGGTGTTAGACTGCAATGAACAAACTCTAACAGGTTAGGTCTGGTTAATGACAGCCATAATGTCTACATTAATTTTTTTGCTGGTCCGTCTCTATTCTTCTGTACGCATGTGGAAGGCCTTATATTTCTTATAAGAAAACGGCCCTAAGTTCGTAGCCAGTTGCCTCTTGGGATTTCTTGTTCCCCATTATACTCTTTTAAAGTTACACGTCACTGTGAAATATAAACCTACATTGTTTTCAAAAATTATTGTGGAAACTAATAAATACAATACAAAGAGACATTTTCTTAGACGGTTTGGAAATTTTGACTTACTCGTTTGGGTCTAAATGACTCTCTACTATAGCTGCCACATAAATGGTAGATATAAGTTTCGTCAATAAGAATATATAAATATGGTTTTTCAGGCTGTTTTTTTGTAAGTGCAGCACAGAATTATATTTGCTAGCAAAGAAGACATGCAGTAAACGACATGAGGCCGCTACAATGAATTTTAATACATTCTTGGAATTTGCCAAGCACGGTACAACAGAGATCAAGAAATTCAATCAGAAATATGCATCTGCCAACCCTCAAAATTAACTAGTAGGGTTAATTGTAGTCTCTTTATTCCCGTTACGCCGAGAGTTTGTTAGGACAGATTAAAAACTCATATTATGACCAGTTACTAAAGCCCAGCTTTGATTTGAGTCACAAAATAAACATTTGTCGAGATTCTTTCCAGAAATGCCTTTGCAAATCTAGCCCATAAATATTTATATGTTTGTAGGGTGTTTTGTGGGTTACAATCTAACGTTTGCTTGATTGCTTACTCTCTAAATGGCGGCAAAAGTATACGACATATAGCAGAGTTCGGAAGTAGATCACCAAAGTAAAGTGTTTCTTATATCTAGCTATATCAAAATAAAATGCATATTAGCAAGGGGATGTGTTTCCCTCATTTGCCTAAGGCCCTAAAGCTCATGGGTATAGCACTTGCAGGCCTTCATTACAAAGCAAATCATGAACACTCCATGTGTTTGAATATTCAGGTGCAAGTGCCATCAAAATTGAAATGTGCCTCTCATATGATGCTTCTGCTAGCCCACAGCAGCATAAACAGTGGGTTTGTTTGCCCTTCTTAAAGTGCAGATTATGGACAAACGACACATGACAAAATAGTTTTAAGTATTTTAGTACTCGCGATGATATTAATTGATACCCTGCAATACACCACTGATTTTAGATGCAAAAACGTATTCTAAAGCATGGGGCGATTAGATGTCTATAAAGATGGCAACATAAACGAGTTTATTTTTATTTTCAATGTAGGTCTGTAATAGTGGTTTCTCCTCGTCTATGGCTAAATCTATCAGAGCCCTGTCAACTTGTCTAATAGATGAACACTTCTCGTAACTGTTACAGAAGCTGCCTGTGATCACTGCACGTCGCTGAATACGGCTTAACGCTTCTAATCAACAACTAGTCCAATGAACTAGAATTAAAATTTAAGGTTTTGTTTTCGGTTCATGAATTTCCTACCACCACAGTTTTAGGCTTTCTATCACCCGTAGGTCGTCGTGGTGGCTGTGGCAGTTAAACCTCCTAGACTGTGATTTACGATGTGAAGCTAATGATTCAGAAATAGATGGTTCCTCTAGGAGATTGATACGTACTGACTACTACTTGAGGCGGAAATCGTCATCACAGATCTAGCAAGTTGAAACATCTATACTAGGAACATTTTAATTTCCAGTCGGTTGGCATTTTGTCGAAACGACCACAGACTTCGGAGCATGATAACGTGTTACGGCAGTTTTCATTACACACACTAGCTGGCCATCACGATTTCTTTCGTTGCCACGACCGATGAGAGAGAGGCAATTCCTTTAGGTCAGCGCAATAAACGTGTTTCCTATCTGAGCGGACAACTACTGGTCATTCAATTGCCTATCTGTGTCCCTGAAAGAAGTTATGGCCATTATTTTGGAGGGCTGTCTGCACGGTAAGTACTAAAAATAAGACACAGGCACAATAGAGGGAACATTTTTGGGCAACAGTTATTTTCTGCGCACCCGCAAGGGATGCGTTTTATGGGAATAAGCCTCTTTTACAAGTAAATTGCTCTTACTGCTGACATAACACTGGTCCTGGAGGTTCTACAGAGTCTAACAAGAAGTGTGTTTTGAATTGATGATGCGATGTCATTTTTTCACCATAGTCTTTTTTGGCAGTTTGTACCAGAACAGCAGATACCAGACAGAGGCCCAAGATATCTGCTCTCTACATCTTTTGAAACATTTATTTTTGGACTTATTCAGACTGCCTTTTAAATT